TGGGTGTGGCTGGGTGTGGGTGTGGGGTGTGGGGTGGGGTGTGGGTGGATGTTCCCTCTACTGAAAGGAGGGTCATACACCGAGCAAGATTCGTATGTTCGTAACTTCGTTCGTTCGTTCGTTTGTTCGTTCGCACAGAACGAAAAAAAGTTCTTTTGACCTATCACATCATCGATCTTCGAAGAAAACTTAACCTCAGCCATTGGATTAGTCTACAGTCCCTAACCCATCGACCAATCAGATATTCGCTTCGTCTGCATTCCAACCAATCAGATTTGGAGAGTTGGAATTTCGACCAATGACAGGTTTTCACGGTCTACCTATGCGCCAACCAGATTTGGAGAGTTGGAATTTGGACCAATGACAGGTTTCCACGGTCTGCCAATGCACCAATCAGATTTCGAGTGTTGGAATTTGGACCAATTATAGGTTTTCACAGTCTGGTTATGCGCCAATAAGATTTCGAGTGTTCGAATTTGGACCAATCATAGGTTTTCATGGTCTACCTGTGCACCAATCAGATTTCGAGTGTTGGAATTTGGACCAATAATAGGTTTTCACAGTCTGGCTCTCCGCCAATCACATTTCTAGAGTGGGCATTTGGATGAATCATAGGTTTTCGCGGTCTGCCTATGCGCCAATCAGATTTCTAGAGTGGCCATTTGGACCAATGATAGGTTTTCAGGTTGGTGCGGGTGTGCGTATGAGGGTGGGTGTGGATTTGGAATTAAATTAAATGTATTTATATGTACACCAACGCCTATACGCACACCCCACACCGATACCGCCGCACCCCACAACACGCACACCCGCATTCGCACTCACACCCACATCCGACACCCACGCAAGCACACCCCACCCACACCCACACCAACACACGCTGTATGTGTGTCAAACTGAAAGTTTATGTTTGAGTATGGTTGGAAAACATATTAGGCCAGTATTCCTCTGTAGATTCTGAAAATTTTAGTGGTGTCTGACAGCTAATGTTATTGTACTAGCTGTTTCTGGAAGTTTATTCAGTGAAATGAGGGTCGCTCCGTTGCGTTTGGATCTCGATCTGGTTTCTGGGTTTGTTACGATGGGGTCACTCCAAAGCGCAGTTGCGAGTGTTAGCGCCTATGTTTATAAGAAAATTTCGTTGATATTACTGTTCTTCTCTGAAAACCTTACTGAGGAAAATTTTCTTATGTGACGTGTGTCGTATCTAGCTTCTGTTTTAGTGTATAGCTGTCATATACTGCTTGGGATGCTGGTGGAATGCACCAGTGATAATGACTTTTGATCGATACATTTCGTTAAGATGCTTTAAATTCTTTTCATTCTCTTTTTAACTTTATAGCTTTTATTTGAAAGAGAAATTGGTACAAGCTTTGCAAATGATCTATGGGCTAGAAAAGTGAAATGAACAGTTTTCGAGCATGCAATATAGAGTTTTTTTACGAGTTAGATTGTTTTTCTGAAGATCACGGCACTGTTAAAATGTTATTGTTTTAAACAATGAATTGAAAGCATTTCCGAGTATTTTGTGCTATTTTATCTAATCGTTTAAGTTCTGCTATTTGGGCCGTTGATGGTTTAACTTGGAGTGTTGCAAATTCAAATGGACGTATGATAAGTAAATCGTCAAGTCTCTTTACACGAGATAATGGAACATAAACCGATGCAACTTCAAGTGGGCCAGAAGGCATGACCAGATCGACGATAATTTTACCGAGTGTTTGTCCTTGGCTTTTATGTGTTGTCATGCTGTATGCCGGTATAAGCGGAAGTGCTTTACGTTTGATCGTGAGTTTTGCTGTTTTCTTGTTTATTTTAGCCGCTTTTGCTACATTTTCTGGAAGAAGTTCCTTGGCATCAAACAAGAATGTTTGTTCACTAATAGATATAGGAACTATCTTGGATTGCAGTTCAGGAAGTTTGTCATCAAGTTTGCAACCAGGAAATTCTACTAAAGCGTACTTTGGTTGCGTTATAAACTTGGTATTTAATGGAAAATTCTTATCTTAGTATCGAACATCTTCTGGTGATTCATCGTATACAAGTCGACGAAAGATTCCTCGTGTACCGTTAGACAGTCCGAGCTCAATAGCAACGTTTTCTGTGAGTAAAACTGGCACTCCTGGTACGAGAGGTAAATAGCCTGGAAGATGTTCTGTTTTATTATCAGGTAATTCAAGTATCGCTTGACGTAATCGTGAACCATCCACAGTTTTTCCTTGAATATAATCTTGAGCAATACATACAATTGGGCTAAGTCCCATTTCCATTGTTTTGTTTAAGACAGCCCTATTGTTAATTTGAGTGCGTAGCGTATTCCGAAAAACCAGTATTGGAGCCTATTGAAAGAAAAGTAATGTGATACACAGAGAAAATGAATGTGCATACTTCGTTCCATGGCTTTTGTTGTAGAGATACTTGAAGTTTTGGATTTCCTATGACTCTCGTACACAGAAGTTGGTAATCTTCTATTGACGATTGCCCATTTCTTAATCTATTTAAAAGCTCCAAGTATCTTATGTCTTCGGTTCGCATTTGCTGAGTTAATTCAACGACGCAGTTTATTTCAGACATAAGCTTCTGTGCACATAACATATCTATCTGGCGTTTTGTAACTTTCTGTGTCGATGTGCAGGCATAGTAGAGAGGCTTGTCCAAAACAGGAGAATATTGAAGGTAGTCGCTGAAGAAAATGACATTGACACCACCAAAAGGTATCTCAGAATTGACGTGCTTGGCTGTTTTCACTATTCGATTGAGACGAGCTAATAGGCTAAGTCCTACCATACTCGTCTCATCGATTACCACGTACTTTACATGACGCCATTGATTTTCCAATTTCGTATCACCAGGTCTAAATGTACGGATATTTTTCTTTTTAGTGTTTTAGCGACTTTCACCTAAAAATGAATGGATAGTTAATCCGTCAATCTCAGCTGCTGCTATAGACGTTGGCGCCAGTTTACGCAACATCTTGCCCCTCTTGGTTACTTGAAAATACTTGGTAATTGCACGAGTTAACTGAGATTTTCCAGTACCACCGCAACCAGATATGCACATTAATAACCGATTATCGATAGTATCTAAATATCAAGACTATTCAAAATTTTCAATAACAAAATCAAGAAAATATACCGGTGTGAGCATGATTTTCGCCATCTAAGTGACTAGTTATAATCATGAAAGCATATTTTTGCTGAGTATTTAGTGTAAATTGTTTGACGATATTCTGTTTTGTGGGAAATAAAACCAAATTGGTTGCAGTTACAGGTAGGACTCTCGTAGCTTTCGTTTTAATTGGGCTTGTTGGAATTTCAGCACCTACGACTTCAATCTGTGTTTCATCATCTCGTACTTCCAGAGTATCTTCACCTGAAATTAAATAGTTTCTTGTTTCGTCTCGTCGGGCTTCAATATCACGTTTCCACTCTTTAATCGTGGTCGTATGATGCTCGCGAGCTACGACAAATATGTGGACGTCGTGTATGATACCATAATTATTTTCGCCCGGACAACGTGTACGGTCAAAATCAAACTAAATGTTTTCGAAATATGACAGTAATTAACTCACCATTGAGTAGTGCAAATCTGTCTCTATTATCAATTGCTTCTAATGCATCATGAACATAGCGTTATTCTTGAGTAACTGTCAATGCAGAGTAAGCGTTTGTGGTGGTCTCATTTACGATGGAGAGCATTTGCAAAAGTTGTTCTGGATCATCTTCGTCTGCATTTTCATCACCTTCATAGTAGTTAGGCATCAAAATAGGGTCAATGTTGTTTTCATTTTGGGCTTCTAAAAGAACTTGATAAAGGTGCTCATCTCGATCGTGTTTGCATTCGTGCAAAAGCTTTATATTTTCTATAATCTTAAGCGAGTTGGAAGAGATAAATAATCTTCGAGCTTCCAATGCTTCTGACCATGTCTCATTCAGTGCACAAAGGTCCTGAACTGATCGCCATGGAACGAATAATGTTAACAATGCGCGACAATAACGTTCATGCGTTTCTTCTCGTTCGCGGCGAGGTATTTGAGGACCTATCAGGACTGGTACTACTGGAATGGAACGTTTAATTATGAGATGAGATAATGATTGTGGATGTGCGCTGTCAAATGTATGATGTTCATTCATTTTCGTTCCTTCTGTAGGTAATTGTTGGCCTTGAGAATTGGTTACATTCTTTAGTAAACGACGATCCGATTTGTTGATAACCTTCTTATGAAAATGGCTAACGAAATCATATAAACACACTGCACTAAGATCCTTTGATCGATGCTGATAATCAAGACGAGTATTGACCAAGACATACTGATCGCCGTTGTTGGTTTTTGTGGGTTCTAATAAAAATTGTTCTTCGATTTCGTTTTTATCTTCTCCTTGTTCATCGTAGTAAGGCGTTGAAGTCTCTAGAAAAAAACATGTTAAAAATCTATACAATTATTTTAAAAAGTTCTACCATCTATTCTCTCTTCAACAATTTCTTTTTCGTTAATTCGTGCTTTATTTAGTTCTGTTTGTAGATAGGTTTCGATTAAAATAAGAAAAAGATTTTTGAACGTATGTGTAGTGTAGTGGTCACCATAGTTCATCAGATATGATGCAACTTGAACACCTGAAACTTTTTGTTGTGAAGCAATCATATTGAAGCAGCGCAACACTAGTTTACGCGATTTGTCAACGATATTATCTGTGGTATTAGAAGTTCGTTCCTGCTCAATAGATTTGATACCTTGTTGTGCAAGCGCAAACATATCGTGGAAGGCCAGAGTAGACATTGTTACATAATCAGTTATATAGTAGACTAATGCTTTGGCGTCGTTACCACTCCAGATGAATTTAATGCCCATATTCGATCGGCACGCACTTAAAAACCATTCATTAAAGTTATTGATCCACGGATGTGATCGACGCATAGTTATCTGACCTGTTGTAAGGTCAATATTAGAAACATTCACTAGTGCGCGTGGCATGCCCATTCGACACCTTTTTGAACTATCATTTTTGCCTTTAGAATATTTATAGCAAGTTGCAGAATGCTTGTGAATATTGCAGATTTCGACCAATTGAACTACATCTTTGCGAAACGTTTGATCGAAGTCTTCCGATGCAGGGGTTGATGTTGGGAGACATGGTGGTATAACTTCACTTGCTGTCGATCCAATTTCTCCTAAGATGAAGTGAGAATTATAATTAAAGATCTATTACAAGCTTCAAAGCTCACCAATTAATGTTCTACTGTCGCTTGTCGTACTTGCTCCGTCGTTGGTTTCATCTTAAAAAAGAATATTGATATTCAAAAGTACAAAAAATAGAAGTCTCATAAATATATAGTAAGAATAAGTGATCGGAATGAAATATGTTTTGCATTAATGAAAATTTTAAAAATGTTCTGAAAGCTCAAGTTCAAGGTAAGGCAGCGATGCACTATTAGGGTGTAAAATAGGGGTCTGCATTTCCATGGAAACCGTTCCCGGTAGCGCCACAATCTATACTTCCTTCTATAGGTAGTGGCACTACCGGGAACGGTTTCCATGGAAATGCAGACTCCTAGTGTAAAACAGCATCAAGTAGGCAAATGTAACAACTTCAAATGACAGATTCGAACAATGTTAAATATATTGCCTCGAAACGAATCTAAATCTTCTTTTATAATATCTTCTAAATATTTTAGTAAATTTTCACGAAAATCTTGATTTTGAATATTTTCTTTCAATTGTGCTGGAGTATATTCATGATTGAGCCAAATCAAGAGATGTAAATGGAGCTATCCTCTTCCTTGACTCTGTACAGTGCCGAAATACGCTTTTGCAGGACCAAGTACACCGCCCAATAGTAGGCTTTTCAAAATGCTTTTTATTAAACAGTTGAAGAACTTTGCAGTTGCAACAGGGTGCGTCGCGACAATTTGAGCACGCTCATAACTTGTACGCAGGACTTCTGGCAGAACGTTATCAAGATCGAGATCGACACCTCCAAAGTAAAGTGCCACTGGACTATGGATGTTGGCCGGATTGATTGTGAGGAAAAGGCTAGGAAGACCAAGATAAAAACATAAAGAATGAATTTTCGTACGAAGAGCTGATCGGGAATGAGCTGAACCCATGACGTGACCACCAATAATTTTGATGTGCTTCATCAACGTATTTATTCTCTCGTCAGTAACTTTTGAATAAGGCGCTTTTGAGATATTAATAAGGGCTGCTGCTACATCTTCAGAACTCAATGAGTTAAGAACTTGTGCAGATTGTTGAAACCACGATCTTGTTGTCATTAATTGGGCATGGAAACATGCTGTTCGGCGTTGTAAAATATTGAAGACAACGAATATAAATGAATAGTGTTCTTCAAAGCGGCGATCTGCATACGAAAGAAGATATCTGAGATGCTCACGAAAATTGATTTGAATCGGTCGAGAACCATCCTCAAGCCCACCACATTCATATGGGAATAGGGTAGGAAAGATTTCTAATAAAAGATTTGGATTAGAATATTCTTTGGCCGGTTTGTTGCCACGAGGAATTATGTATACAGTGTCTTGTTTAGAGTTTTGCTCGGTGTCTTTTCCGTGTGTTTTTTCTGGCACTTGTGCTTTGATTCGTTCTAAAAGATGTTCAGCAACTTCATCAGACGACACTTTGGTACCATTGACATCTAACACAGCACTATAACATAAACAATATTATTACCAAAATATCAACATGTCTCTTTGTCTTACCTTGAGATTATAGGTATAGCTGTTGTATTGTTAAATTCAGATGCATTGGTCAACGGATCAGGAAGGTAACTTGCTCTTTCATTTTCAGCTGCTTCTACATTAGTAGAAACTTTCATGGTTGCCCATAAACACTCCGGTACATCATCTTCAGGTAATTTGCTGATTATTAATTGATTAATTGTAACATTACGATATAGAGCATTATTCTGTCTAAGCCTTTGAAGTGCTTCGAAAACTTTCTTTTTTCGAATGGTCAAAACATTTTTTAATTGGTTTCGTTGATGAGGACGACATCCAACAAAGATTATCTTTAGAGAATCACATAGATCATCTAAATCTAGTGATAAGGTAGTAGCTATGTTAATAACATCTTGGGGAAAACTTATGCAATTCCTTCTTAAAGCTGACTGAGCTGTACTTGTCGAATGAAAAGACGAATGTAACTTGACAATGCAGCCATTGTGCCGCCAAAGAGCGATCAGTTTTTCCTCATGAATTGTTAGTCCTTGTAGTTCTTCTGGGACATCTCCAGCCCATATTTTGTTGGCAGGCGAAAATTTCGGTACTTTCCCTTTTATTAGAGACGACCAACACTCCGAACAAATGTCGCAGTGTATCGAATATCGTTTTTTTCTCTAAACAGTTTTATGCAATCCTGCTTCATAAAAACGATACCGTTTACATAAGTAAACTCCTGTTTATTCATTGTTGATTGAGCATGCGTATCTATAATTAAAAAAATTATTTACTGTATTAGTTTACGTACTAGCGAGACTAACCTGCTGCTCTTTCTTTCTGAATCAACGCCTTGGCAAGATCACCACTCATGTTAAGCTTATCATGTGACTGGAATTGGTACGTTTCCTGCATTCCCGGAACTATGTCATAAAAATCGTTGGGTACTTTCAGTAATTCAATAGACGGTATTTTACTGAACGGTATATGGTAGAAATCACGTTTGTAGCAACGAACATTACAAATACCGCAAACACCTACTTGCAGAGAACTCATCGACATATGTTGAATAAAGTTCTTTAAACAGTTTTTCTTACGTTCAATATCAATAGGTTTTGGCCATTCAAAGTCGTTACTTTCTTGTTGGTGCTTGTCGCTTTATCGAAGCCACTTTCTCTGACGAGCAGATGCACGCTGTCATTCGAGTTCATCAGATGTATAAGTAGCTTGTCTTGCGGTGCTTCTTTTGCAAGCTACCACACACTGTTCTTCAGCTTCTTTTGGTGATGCAGTAGCTCGTTTATTCATACTTCGTTCGGCAGCAAGTGTTCGTTGTAGCTGGATCTCTTTCGATGTAAAAGTAGCTCTCCATGCCACAAATTTCTCACGAGTTAGCTCTCGCTGGACTTCGATTTCTTGCACTGTTAAAGCAGTTCTTCTGGCTGCACTTCTGTCTCGAGTCATAGTACGTTCATGTTCAAGTTATTCTGATGTTAAAGCAGCTCTTCTAGCTGCAATTCTTTCTCCTGCAAGGGACCGCTCTAGTTTAGCTTGTTCTGATGTAAAGGCAGCTCTTCTGATAGCGCGTCTTTCGCTTGCAAATATCCGCTATCTTTCAGCTTCCTCTGGTGTAGCTTGAGCTAGTTTAAAAGCCATCCTTTGACAAGCTTGTAATCGTCTTTTGTCAATATTCGTGTTCTTCGCGCTCGTGTGAGTCTCACTTGCTTGTAGTATTCGTTTAGTTCGAGAAGTTGTTGCGGTTTCCTGGCTTACCATGTAATAGGTCGATGATGTTTGAAATTGTTGAATTTTATTATTCTCCATATTAAATTCAGGAATGCAAATTCGAGTTAGTACGTTATTCTTCGTTGTTGAATTAGTTGGCGTCTGTAAGTGAAAGTGTGTTTTATTTGTGTAAAAAGTTCTGTACTAAAACATTAAACTCACCAAGCGTGACACAGTGGATTTCGGTTCAGTCAGGTTACTTTGATTCTGAGACTCACTCGATGGAAGTAAAAGTGGTACGAAATTATTAGGTGTCCAATTATCAACATTACTTTTACTTGTGTCTCTTTCACTTTGAGTATGTAACCAGGATATATAAATTGTTTTAGATGAAATACTCGATTGAGCATGCTCAAACGTACTATTCATGATGTCTAGATCAGGTCGATAATCAATTCTAGGATATATCACTCGTATATTGCATTGAAGAACATTGCTCAAGGCTGCGATTTCATAAAGTTCCGAGAATGAAAAATGATGGGTGATATTTTTATCACCTCATTGAGTGGTCCAACAATATGTGCAAGGCGATTGCTGTAGAGAGTTTCATTTTTTACGAGTTCTATTACATTTTGAATTAGAAAGATTGTATTAACAGAACTGAATAGTAAAGTTGGAAGTACCTACCTCTCGGTTCGCAAGATATCAAAACTGTATTATCAGTCAAACATACGATAGAGTTATAGAGACAATTGTCATCTGCAATGACGTCAATTGTAACCATATTTTGAACGCCTAAAGATGTCTGCTGAAGATATGATTTGGCTTCTTGGTCTACTTTATGAATAACTAATTAGGTTGAAATGAGTAACGCGTGCAAATCGTATCGGTGTTAAAAGCCAGTCCATCTAAATTGCTGAGACCATATAAATCGAAACCTCTTTTGCGAAAACTTACGACCCTGATTTGTCCACAAATAGCCTTGATTCGATCATAATAGCCGTCAGCTGTGGATGCCTCGTCAAGTTCCATTAAAAGTATTTTAAATACTTTAAAATGATTTGTTTTGAGACAATTTAAGCAGCAAGAAGCTTTTGTCAATTTAGAACAAAAAGGGACACCGATAGGTGTGGATGTGGGTGTGGGCATGGGGTACGGGTGTAGGCTTGGGTGTTCATGTCGATGTCCTCGTCTCACAGCCACACGCACCCATCGCCACACATTCACACCCGAAATGAATTCTCTTCCTCAAGGCTGGGTTTTGTCCATACGTAAATCGAGCATACATATTTTAGATGAACAGTGTAGGTACTTCAAAAAAAAATTAGATGAAGGCGTTTCTGGTATGAAACGTTGGAAACCGAAACAGTTTGTATTAGATAGGGAGACCTTGAAAGAAAACGGCAAGCTTTACTTTTCGGCTATCCAAGTTTAAAATGAAAATGAGGTTTGCTCATTTTTCTGTCAACTAAAATGCGAACAACAGATGATTACCACTCAAAATTTGTCAGATAGTAAAGTCCTCATCGAAAATAAACCCGTCAAAAATACTGGTAATGATATTGAGAACGAGGAAATTGACTTTGAACTTGAAACATTAAACTAAGATTTTCAAGATATTTAAATTGCTCTGTAAGAGATCAAAATGCTAGCAAGCTTTAGTATGAATGCTAAAATGGCACTTGAATCATCTCTTTAAATGTATTCCCAGCTACAACCACTCCTCTGACATTAAAGAAAACCAAATAAAATATAAAACAGAACCAGGTTTACCGGATTAGGGCTAAGTCATTCTAAATAAACGGATGGGTACGGTTTTACCGAGTTATGCTCGCGTGAACATACCAATGGGCACGGATTTTCTGAATAATGACCATTGATAAAGAATTATATTGTTTGCATGAGTGCGGCTTTTCCAAGTACCCTTCATAGACAATAAAGGGACATGTGTTTTCCGAATAATGTTCCTCCTCTTCAGGCATCATGGGCTCTACGTGCCGAAGAGGAGAAGCACGGATAAGATTCCCCTTAAACGTGACCATCAATCCTGCGTCTTGTATAAAGTAAGTGTACAACTATTTAAACAATACTTTAACTTCCACTGAAGTAAAATTGAACGTTAATCGACTTATAAAGTGTTTTCAGCTCTTTTGCATAACATGATGCTAACCCATTTTACCTTCGTAAATTACGATAAATGATAATTCAACAGTTTATA